TGGCGTCCACGGGGGCGGACAGGCCTGCGTGGGAGCAGGACTGTGATGGGGCGCCTTGATCCGGCCTGGCACATCCCGGAGGGCTTCCTGGGAGAGGTGGCGGCTGGTTGAGACCTGAGGATGGAGGGTGAGGGCTGAGGTTAGGAGAGAACGAGGAGGGCGTGCCCGGTGGAAGGAACCACGCGTGGAAATACTCCGTGAGAGCCAGAAAGCAGGGAGCGGGGAGCCATGGGGGCAACGGAAGTTGGTAGCCGGGCGCCGGGTGACAGGGCCGGCAGAGGCTGGGCCAGCAGCTCTGGAGCCAAAGTTGGGGCCTGCGGTTGGAGCCTCACCAAGGTTGCTGGGAGCCGTGGACGGTTTTAGAGCGGAGAAGAGGGGCTGGGAGGGGGAGGGGAGTCCAGGCGTCCAGGCCCGGCCCGGACTGGGGTCTGGTGGTCGCCGCGTTGAGGCCGAGTCGACAGGCGGCTGGCGGGCAGGGGGCCCGGCGGGTGGAAGGCTTCAAGGCCGAGGCAGCGCGTTCTGGCTGCCACGGGCCTGGTGGGAAGGGGTCCCATGGGCGGCCCAGGCGCTGGGAGCCACGGCGGGGCTGGGAGTGGGGCTGGGCGCCCGTGCCTTGGCGTGGAGCCGGTGTGGGGGCGCCCTGGCTCCCCTGAAGGCCTGGCCCGCCAGGCCCCTCCTCGGCGTGTGCCTCAGTTTCCTTGTCTGGGGGCGGAGGTGGCACGCCGGGGGACATTACCGGCTTCCCCCACCCCCAGGGCTGGGCCCGGCTCTGCTGTCCACTCCTGGCGGCAGGCCCGTGGGGAGGGCACCCTGAGCCGTGGGGACGGCGCCTGGGGCCGGATGGCCTCCGGGTCCAAGTCCTGGTCAGCTAAAGGCGAGTCCGGGTTCCGGGAAGGGCGGCCCACCAGCCCCGCCTCGGCCGTGTCCTGATGGGGGACACTGAGGCCTGGGAGGCCAGGGCCAGCTAGAGCCTCTGGGGCCGCGGAGCCGCTGGCTGGGGCCCTGCCTGCCGGAACGGGTGAGTGGCCGGGGGCCGGGGCCTCCCGGGGGCTCTGGGGGTCCAGGGCGGCAGCTTTGCGGGCTCCCA